AAAATCCGATATGACAATACGAAAAGTATTTTTTCGTAAACTATAAGATAAAGTGATATTTTTGTCAAAATAAAAAGCCTAAATATTTTACCTAAAATGTTTATCCGTGTTCGGAACTAAATCCTCATATCATAAAAGTATATTTCGTGTTTCTGAATTTTCGGTCGATTGAATATGTTATTCAGTCGTTTACATCGCTAGTCTCTAGTAGCGGGTCACAAGCCGACTGTTTACTGAACATCTCTTCACTGCCCACGATGTGATAAAACATTTTATTTATAACAAAAATATACAAAAGATATTATTAGAAGTAGTAATTTTAACAGATATTATTTCTTTTTATTTTATTTTAAACAGTACTCATTTTATTAGAATGGTTCTGGTTATTAAAATATACTTATAATTTACGTACAATATCCGAATATATGTGATACTACAATGCTTTATGTTGAGAAAATTGTGCTTCATTATTATTTTAAAAAGAAATTTATCCTTAAAATTTTTGAAATATTTTTGTTACAACAATCCTTAAGCCAATAATTTCTTCAAGAAATTGTTGATTTTTATTAAACATATACTCGTAGATGTATGTACATATATGTCAAACTGGTTCAATATTGAGCCTCGATGAAATTTATCACAACCTTTCTTAGGTTATTTCGTTAGTTTCGATTCGATTTTCATTTTATGCAAAATACAATCCAATTTCTGAGGGGACCTTCAATCGGGATAATACCCTAGAAGAATCATCTAAATTGAATTCGTCGGAACCTCGCCCCCTACAGAGCCTCCGCCATCTTAGGAAAACACAAAAACGGAGCGATCTGCCATGGGCTTGTTTCAGAGAAATTTATATAAAGTTAAAAGAATTTATCACACCTAGGGGTCAACGACCTATGAACGAAGTAGTAACCCATTTGAGGAGCGAATAAAATAAACTGGTACATATTAAAAGTTTATAATGTACAGGTGTTTAATACAAGCACTGGACTTTGATACCAAGAAACCTGAAATATAATGTTAAGAATCATTAGCCGTAATCTCATTACAGCGATGGGGTCGGAATTGTTGTATGATCAGCGTAAGATGCTTACTGCCATCCTGACAGTGTGAGCTCTGACGTTAATCCTAAACGAAGACTATTTATGACCGGCCCTTCCTGCCGCTCTTATTATATATTAATAAAACTAGAGAAACGAGACAGATACCAATGAAAGTTATAAGCAGTTGAAGGTTACGAAGCTTTGTAATGAGGTCTAAGTTGTTTTACTAAGTGTTTTTACAATGATGTTTGACGTTTCATTGGCAGTACTGTATGTTTTGATTTCTGCCAGTGACATATTATAGTAATCCTAATACATTATCGTTAGTTGTAAAGTAATCCTGATAGATTTAGACCGGGAGTGAGCCCGCTGGCCGGTCGAGACGACGCATTAGGGAAATCCGATATACCAATTCATCTTCATTTATTTACATCTGGACAAGTCACTGTTGATCTTATTTCTCCTTTACGAGTTTTAAAGTAAAATAATATTTGAGCAAACCAACCCGTGGGTTTTCATAAAGTTTAAATAATCACAAATATAAAGATAATATTTGTACTTGAATATTATTTATGGAATTTAATTTATATATTTTTTGTTTCAGGTAAGGCATATTTTGTGTTCGGGTGAGTATGTATACACGTACACTACACGTTATCTCGCTGATATATGTATGTATATAAGGGTAGCGTTTTATGAAATGTTTTCTTTACAAAAGGTATTTTTACCCTTTTCGAGTGAACTTAACCCCATGGTCGAGATAATTTATGGTTTATATATTTCATCTCGAGTCAGTGAGCGCGCGTGAAACGATAAAAAATATTATTAGTCGAGCGACACGAACAGTTTCAGAAGACTGTTTGATGTTCAGACAACAAATATTGATAAATACCTGGATCACTATTATGGAAACAGGTTGCCGGCTGTGAGCCTATGGAGATAAAACGTATTTTAATTGTTTCAATAAACGTTTGGTTTAGTTTAAGGTTTATGTAGGTGAGATACAACTCTTTGCAACACGTTACTGCTCTGTAATATTACTAAGAATTATATATAGTATAATATTATGTCCAAACTTATTTTTCTTCCATATTATTACGATGATAGAGCAAGTTTCTAAAGAATCATTTATACTCGTAGTTAAAATTCATTTAAAATTACATTCGGTTCTCTTCACCTATTCAAAAATAAACACGATTGTTTATCACTTCTTAGAAGACATTAAAAAGTTCTCATTTATATAACATGATCTCTCTTGGTCTATATGGAGTCAAATCAGTTTGACAAACTCGAATAAGGATTCATTATAATACAGGATTGATTTTATTGACACAATCATTACAACCACATTATACGCTGAAGTCGTTTATTGATCAAATATCTAAGTCTCGTAAGTGTTATCACAGTACGTCTACTTTAAATATATTGACCTTAATGTAATACACTCTTATGTTGAACATAAATTATATAAAGCACTAGATCATTTGAACCGTGAAGTTTAATAACAAAAGAAAACAAACACACGTCGCAATTTACTTTCTCCCTGTACGGTCTACAAATAAATATTCTTTAACACATTTTTTTTATTCGTTAAGCCAAATTATTGAACATTTAAATTTAAAACAAGTTACGGTTTATAATGAAAATATATATTTATTTATATCATAGAAGTATTTAATTGTATTCTTCTATGTTTTTATACGTCGTGAGTTGTTTTTTTTTGTCGACCATACTTCGTACTATCCCTGTCTCCGGACACAGTCGAGCTAAGTCAATATTATCTGTAATAATTTCCCTCAGCCAGTGACCGCTGATAATATTAAGCAGCTGTCAAAATAACCGGCTTTAGAGAATGTTAAAGAATTATAATATAAAAGGTAAGCTTGAATCAATTGTAATGTATCCGTACAGTTTGAGAGACAAAAAAATATATGTATTGTATGTAAGTAATATTTTAATTATTGTTTCATAATAGGTAACTGTTATAGATTAACTGAACTATTTGATTATTGAATAGTTTATTAGTATCAATTTGTCGTTTAACGTAGCGTAGGTTATCCTTGTGTATATTTAATGTGGTCGCAGTAAATATAAAAGCCGCCATTAACAAACCGAGCAGCTTCCACTATCGCTCTGTAAATCATCTCGTGAATAGACAACAATAGCGTCTTCTGCGATTGTACTCCCATCACAGTGATTTACGCCGGACGCGAGGGTTGTCCACGAACGGAGTACTGCGGCCGGTACACTCACAATATACATATGAAAACAATATTTATTGAAACTAGCTTTACGCCCGCAACTTCGTCCGCGTGGAGTTCGGTTATATCGCGTTTTCAAGAGAATCTTATAAAAGTCTGGGTTAAAAACTATCCTATGTTCTTTCTCAAGGTCAATTCTATCTGAGTACCAAATTTTATTAAAATCAATTCAGTGGTTTAGGCGTGAAAGCGTAACAGACAGACAGACAGAGTTACTATCGCGTTTATAATATTAGTAGGGACGTTACAGAAACTTCTCATTGAATATAACAAAAATATTTTGACAAAATGTTTTGATTTAGGTAAAATAATTAATGAATAAAAGACCTTAATAAAATCCATCGCATATTTTATAAAGTATATGAGTTATTACGTGGACTATAATAATGAAATTTATTTATTTAATAATAATATCTCGATGTTACCAGCCCTAGTGAAGGAGTGAGCTTTAACTCTCGTCCACACACGGTCAGATCTAACTTCCGATTATATTATATTTTTAATTGATGCCACTAATACTGCTACTTCTTATCTATTTTATTTTTAAATTACCAATCATTTCAAATATGTACAAATAAAAAAGAACTTTGGAGGTCTGTTTGGAAGTAGTAGAGAATGTATTTAAAAGAAAATTATTAGGTATTTTATAAGTAAATATATAAATTAATTACACTAAAAATGTTAGGGATATATTATACGTAAATAATAATAGTATTAACATTGCGAGGTTGCCACACCGTCCACCACTGAATACATGCGATGTTGCCGCTTCGACCACCTCATCCACCTCATCCACCGTGTTGGCCACACGTCCAACCTCATGACCAGTCACTAGATAGTTATGGATATCCAAATTGTCTTTGAAAACAGTATTATTACGAATAGCGATTATTTAAAAACAGAAAAAGACATTCTAGAAATAGAAAAACGATCGCCACTATGGGATGTTGCTTCAGCAGTGAATTGCAATCGTGAAATCAAAAACCAGTGTTTGGACGAACTTATCGACATTTTTGGTTGAAAACATTTAATGACATCGGAGCGGAGAGACAAAGTTGAATGTGAAAGAAATATTAAAAAATATTAATCATTATATTTTGAATTGTAATGATTATTAAAAACGTTGTGAAATTTATTACTCGGAAGGTAGCTGAAACAGTCAACAGGAGTGCATGGAAAGTCTGGAGCCTGTGATTAGCTCGAGTAGTGAGAGGAATTAATATGGCGAGTGACTTTGCCAGGATGACATCACCGATGACTTTTTCAGCTTGCACTGACTCAATATTAGTATTGAATGAATAATAATAATGATACTGATGAACTCTATTTCTCGTTTATAAATTAACACTAATACTGCAACAAAGAAGGCCACGGTCTTTGAATTCACTTTGGAAATCAAAGGATTTAATATTTGCTGTGACGGAAGGAATATGGTCATATCATTGACATGACATTTTTTTATTAATTTATAATCTTAATTTTTAAACTAACTAGCAAAAAAAACGAGTTTTCCTTAGAGATCTCTTTTTAATAATGTTAGTCAGAGTTCTATTTTACTATTTTAAGATCTTGCTTCAAGAAACTACAAGTAATTCTTAATTTACATGATTTAAACTGAATGTTAGGATAAAATTCACTGGATTTCTCCTTCAAAGGAAATGAGAGAACATTTCATCTATAGATGTTTCATCTGAGAATGATCCAAAATCGAGAAAGATGGAGTACACTTACTTTACAAGCACAGTTCCTACTACAGGTTCTCAACCACGAGAAGATATGGTCCTTTGAAGGGACCTCTCATTCTGTGCACTATGGAGAACCAGATCTTGGTATCAAGGAGCAACCAAATTGTGGAGATCCTTTAAGATGTGTTGGTCTAATCAAAAAGGTCAAAAAATGGACCTGATGGAAAACATAGACAAAGTATAGCTTTTATCATTATTGAATCAAATGCAACGTGTGCTTCAAGATAGGAAAATATCTACCGAGATAAAATACTGCTCATTTTGTCAGAAAATTCACAGTTTTAATTTAGGGAAAGTATCGTCTTGAGCACTGTATATTAATGAAAGAAGAATGTTACTAGTTTAAATCGCAACACACAGTCCTCCTCCTGCTTTAACATTATTTTCAAACTTTAAACATTAATTTTGCACTTCGTTAAATAATACTTACTGACCCCTTCCGAGCTGCTGAATGTAATTCAATATTGATTTAATTTATTGTGAGTGACCGGAACATTGAGCTGGAGAATGGACCAATGATTGTAAAATAAAATAAGAGAGACCAATATATAACGTGTTGCTATAAACGAGAATTTCTTTTTCAAAAACTATATAATTCTTACAAATTATTTTTAATTTATTATAAATAATTTAATAAATTTTTTGGGGGTAACATGAAGGATATTATTTAATTTGATGTCCTAACATATATTTTTTTAACTAAACTGATGTCGCTATTCGAATGCAAACAGCAAGTGAGATAACAATTCCTCATCACAGATAACTAAATTTGAATCGCTGTCTGAACGAATGAAGCGCCGAGAGGCGTTCCCATACAGATTTATCTGGTGCCCAGTCCCCAACCCTCGACCCCCAGACCCCAGGCGCGGGTCCCCGGAGACCGCTTGTCCCTCGTCTACTTCCACATTAACGTTCATTCTCGCTTATTTCAGTAATCACAAGTTCTTTCAAACTATTTATGAATGTTACTCAACTTGTAACCATTCGACATTTATTGTGCGTCTCTAACCTTATATAACTTAATTTCACGCTCATTACTTCGTGTTCGTCGTAGGAACGTTTGATTTTTAATACGGTTTGTTGTAAAAAAATATTTAACGAGCAATTTGTATTATATTATCGGATGTCTCGTATATAAAACGTCCAGTGGCCTTCATCATTTGCATTTCTGGTAATTGTTGGGTCCCTTTAATCAGGACAGTGGGCTCAGGGCGTGTTTTGGGGACCGTTAATAATAGATAAAAGATAATTACTGACTCCCCGCACCCGAATATAAATATAAGATTAGTATCGCAGTCAGGAATTGACGATGTATAGTTAGCAAATAACTTATAAAAAATAGACACAAAATATTCACTGTTTCTTACTAACTGTCGACTGGAACTTTGTTTTCTTTTAAAAGAACAAAAACTGATAAAGCGTTTTATATTAAAGTTTATTCTTAGCTCGGATTATTCCATAAATTTTATGAGGAATTTTAATTTCTTGCGTATTATCGAGTTTTAGTATGAATATATGAGTAAACTGGATAATGAATTAAAACCATCTGCTCCTCCATATTATCTTACGATCTTTTCAATATCCAAACATTAGTAATCAGTCGTTTGAAACACGTTTAACTTCCAGTACTGTCACGACGTACATATCTACAATTTCGTTATATACACATAACGTAATCTGTTATATAGCCTAAGACCTTCCATTCATGTATCAAATCGAGTATTTACTCCATTGAGTGTCGATTCTTCCGCAGATCAATACGGATGAAGACAGTTTATTTGAAACTCGTGTGCCTCTCAAATATTTACTTACCGCCAGAATCAACCACAGCGGTCTACAGCTATGGAACAGGAATCAGTATTTCACATAAAGATACTTACAACATTCCAGTTTACTATAAGAACATTACAGTAATTGCTTTCGGTGTAACTCCATTTTTATTTTAGTTTCATTCATAGTTTGATTTTTAATAGCATTTTGCCTTCATTTCTTACTTTGGACAAAACTACATTTTTAAAGCTTATTTAATAAGGTAGTCTATCCAAGCCTATTTATTTTTATCGAGTATATTGTTTTAGTAATAATCCCGCTATTTTAGTGGTCATGTCTCAAATATGATTAAGATTGTAACTACGAGACACAAGCTGTGTCAGGTAATTACAAGATCGTAATTATCACTGAATATGTTGCATTTCTTTTGTTTTATTAATTTATGGAAAGAAGTATGGATAGCATATATAATAATTATATGTTTTTATTTAGTGTTATATGTTTTTATGTGATATTTATTAACACAAGGTTACAATTTATGACCTTAAAGATAACAATAAATAAATAAACATATATTCTCCTACATCAGAAATATTTCTTTAATATACTGTAATTGAAACTAATGTACATGTTAAACGATGCAGCGTTCAAGGAAGGATTTTAAAATTAAATAAATTATGGAAGAAACTAAATAATAATAAATAAATGGATTTTCTGCATTTTAGTAGAATAAAAATAAATTCTATATAACAATACTAATAACATATTTATAGTTACTGTTTAATAGCTGTATGAGAGTAATCATGATTCAGAACATTATTACTTCCTATGTTTATATTTTTAGAAGTAATGAAGCAGTTTAATCCGTCTGCAGCTTGTCTTGATTTATGGTGATGAGATGATGATAACTTTTAATTAAATTATTTAATGTATTTAATGATCACCAATTATGTAAATGAAATAACAAGACACATTTAACTTGTAATAATATATTTTATTAAGTGGTACTTTAATAATTTATTTTAAATACTTCACAATACGTTTACAAGTTTGACAAGCATTGGTGTAATAGTAAGAAATAAGAAACAAATCATAGGAATAAAAGCTAGATATGTATACAGGGTGACTGGTGAATTACTATCGATACTTGAGGACGTGATATTTGACGATCATATATGACAAAATAAAAATTAATATAACATAAATATTAATAAACTTCTAAGTAAAGTTAACCAAAAGTTATGTAATTAATTACGCATCGTATGAGCACCCTACAGATTAGGTATACACTGACACTCACACATACGCGTGTCGTGACGTAGTGTTGTATCAGCACGCCGCTGCACGCGTCCACACTTGAACACTTGGAACGTGTCAACACTTTATTTATTTATACGGAAATTTTGTCAAAAATTAAGTGCCTATTTTTTTTACATACTTCGAATGAGAATCATGTACCGAGTATTCTCCTTAAATATTGATAGTAATTCACCAGTCACCCTGTATATAAGTGTTGTTCCCAGTCTCAGTAGTGAGGATGTGGATACGTTATTATGAATGTCATCCTAGCCTACTTCTATTGGACAGGTTTGCTCTGTGATTGAAACATAAACTATGATTTAAAATAAGACTAGTCTTGTGTAGATTTTGGAACTAAAAATAATGTATGTAACGTACATACTGCTATTAAACTTACAATCATTACAGAAACAAAAGGTTGTGGGGATGTGTGGAGTATGAATAAATATATGTATATATGTACGTTTGTTAATCTTTCACGTAGAAACTATTCGATAAATTTTGATTAATTAGTATCGTGTGAAGTCCTATAATAGATATATATCAGACTATAGATGTCACTGATAGTTGGTTACCATATTTATTGTTTCAATATACGTCTTACATTTCTCACTGAGTTTAATTCAGTGTTTTACGAGGACAAAATGATAGGCAAGAACTAGTATCAATCGTGTAATTTAAAGCCTACAATTTCCTAATACGAACCGAATTCTAAACGGAATTGATGGAATGGAAAATTCGTTGGAACAAGCCATTACAAGTTTCAAGTTCGATAATTCAAATTTTACCTGAAAATCTGGAAGCTTTTCCTATTACTTGTTCAATTTAATAATGAAAAGTGTCAGGGCTCCGTGACGGTTATGACCAAATTATCCCAAGTTTTTCGCATTTCCGACCGCCTCCTGAATATTTTATATTCCCTCGTTGTTTACTCGATGTCGCCAGTCATTTTGTTTCGGAGCGCTCATTTCCTGACGCGACCTGGAACTCGACTTTGTACACGATATGAAATTACTTTCAAGGATTCCGGTAAACAGAAACGACAATTACGACCTGCCGCTTATTATTTATATTCAAAGTTGAACCCTCCAGCCTCCAGCCGAGTGTCTTATTTAAAAAATCGCAGCTTTATCGGTGCTTTTTAATTCAGATCGTTAAAAAATACAAAACGAGAATGCCATTATCGAATACATCGGATGGAATTTACATACGAATACTTTATAAATGTTCATCTCACCTTCTGGATAGCCCACGCGTTCGTCGCGCAATCAATTATGCTCCATATTCGGTTGTTGTTTTAAACAATCTACAGTTTATAATCCTCTGGCATGTTAGGAAAGTAAACTCTCAGAAGTGTTTCCAAAAACCAATTTGTCTCATCACATGTGAAACTCGTGATCAGTATCAAAATGAGTCTTACGTGGTTGTGATAGAGCCGATGTCACCGATACCTTTCCGATGCCGTAACTTATCGTTAAGTGTGTCTGTGTGTATGAGTGAAATAGTGAGTGTAGCGAGTGGAGTGCAGTGTATATTTGCGATGGTCGTTGTGCGGCGCTCCATATAGCCTTTGTGATTCATTCCATCGCTTGTCATTGCGTTAGCCAGACAATTGTTTGTTCTTTTTATACGTTCCGAGGCTAATGCGGCCTTATCGTTATTTACAAGCTCATTGTCCTTGCTCGACTTATAATTACGAGATTTACAAAATGTTTGAAAGAACAGGCTGACGAATTTAAATAAAAATTACATTTAACATAAAATCGGATGAGGAGAATTATAAGTAATGATTGGTATACATCACTCTTTAGTATTATTACAATAAAGGAGACCATAACAATAAGTAACAAAATAATTTTCATAAGTCAATATCGGATCGTGAAATGTATTAGGCGTGTAACAATAAACAGGTCGTATGAAGCCCTCTAAAACAATAAACTTATGTTACAGTCGAATACTAATGGTTTACGATATGTATTGTAACGATGGAGTGTGGTGTGAGACACGAGAGGTAGCGGTACACATCCAACGTGGACTGGTTTGAAGATTGTAATAATTCGTACAACATAGATGAAGACGATTATTGATAGTAACTGACTTGTTTGAGGGTGCTTTTCACGCAATATGAATCAAAAAAAGTCTGAAAACTTCAACTTTCTGTTGTTATTATTATTTCCAATTAGATTTTTGAAATTTATATTTGCAGTTCCTAAGTATTAAGGATATATATTCAATACAAAACTATAAGTAAATAAACAGAATATATTTCAGAATATATTTGAAGTAGTGCGTTGGATGCCGCGTTTCGTAGTATGTAATGGAGTTAGTTTATAATGGTGGTATTCCATTAAGAGTAACGCCGCTGTTAACAGTTAGTGTCATGCTCGCTGCAACGTTCAGACATATAAATTGATACATTAGCTGGTGTTACACCGAGGCCAGCACGTTACATGGTTAACGCGGGTGCTTAGTAGAATTAGTAGGGGGTGTCGAGGGGGGGGGGGTTGACCAGATTACCTCTGTGATCTGTTTATTACATTACATTCTGATATTATAATTAGGTTATCATTTAATACACGAACAACTACTCCTATCTTTCAGTTCATTACAAATCCATAAGTTTTCGTAAGAAGATAATTCTTTCATATATATCATATATAATATTACTATTTATTTTTATCTTTAAACTGAAAATAAAAATTTAGAAACGGCAATTATATTTTATTTAAGATTTTATGGATTAATAAAGTTTCTCGATCCAAAAAATATTGTATTCTTTAACAGAAATAGTAAGTTTTATTCTCAACTTCAAAAACTATGTAACGATCTAATTGTTTAAATAAAATTT